TTCGGGATAATGCCCAGCTTGGGATGGGTGGCATTTTCTGGGTATTTGGGGATATTGCCCAGTTTGGGATAGGTGGTGTCTTCTGGAGACTTGGGGATACTGCCCAGCTTGGGACGGATGATGTCTTTTGGAGACTCAGGGATACTGCTCAGCTTAGAATGGATGGCTTCTTTTGGGGACTTGAGGGTACTGCCCAGCTTGGGATGGATGGCTTCTTTTGGGGATTTGGGGATATTGCTCAGCTTGGGTTGGATGGTTTCTTCTGGGGACTTGGGGATGTTGTCCTCCTTGGGCTGCATGGTGTTTGCTGAGAACTTGAGAATGTCACCACCCTTCTGTGGGACCTCAGACTCCTCTGTGGGCACATAGAGTGTGCTGTTGACCATGGGAACAAAGGCCTTCTCTTTGGTCTGAGCTGTGTCCAAGAGCTCTGGAACCAGAAGAGCCACATTGCTAGACAGAACCTGTAATGGACTTTCTGAACAAAAAAGTAAATAAATAAAATAAAAATGAAAAAGAAGAAACAATAAGAAGTCTAATCATAAAATCCAAGGAAGACTGATGTCATTCTTAGAGACCATAAATGAAGTCTGATGAATGATATATTAATTTGAATAACCTCATTCAACAGAAGGCCAAATAGCATGTGATTACATGTATCTTATATATATATATATATGTATACATACATACATATAGACAGATACTGTTTTTTAGAGATAGGTTCTCATTCTGGCCCAATTATAGCTCACTGTAACCTTGAACTCTCAGGCTCCTGCCTCAGCCTCCTGATCTCCTGAGTAGCTAGGACTACAGATGTGCATGTAGTCCCACCATGCCTGGCCAATTTATTTATTTATTTATTTTAGAAAGGAGGTCTCACTATGTTGCCCAGGCTGGTCTCGAACTTCTGGCTTCAAGTGATCTTCCCACCTTGTCTTCCCAAAGTGCTGGAATTACAAGCATGAGCCACTGAGCCTGGCTATGTTTTCGTTTTTGTTTTTCTTCACCACAACTTTCTCTGCTTGGTTCAATACTATATACTGACCACTCCCTAAGTGCACAGGTCCCTAAGGCAACCCTGTTCCCTCCTCACTCACCATTAGTGTCACCTTCAATTGTGTCTTCTTGAGTAGCCAGCCTCATACCTGGCCCTTCTGGGGCTCCAGCATTAACGCCTTCCATGGCCAGCTCGTCTACATTCGCTCCTGATCCGTCACAGATACCGCACAGCAGAGGCCGTACCCTCCAGCTTTTTCCAGGCTATCCAACCTAACATCACAATGCGAGTCACAACTTCTATTCAGGTAGCACGTTACAGCTGCTTTTCCCCATCTATACTCACAACAGTGATATCTGAGAGCTTCATGGTAGCATCAGCAATGGTGGCCACACTGTGCCCAAGGCTGTGGATACGCATTCACAGGCATTATTTCCTACAACACAACAAACCACTGAGGTAAGTACCATTATGATCAGCACTTTGCAAATGAGAAAATTGAGCCTTAGAGAAGTTACGTGGCTCACTCAAGATCACAAAGCTAGGATGTGGGGCAGGCCCCAAAGCCCACGCTCTGAACTACCGTGCTGCCGTACCGTTTGCCAAGTGTCCTGTCTGGGCTGGGTCATGTGAACCAACTTTCCCACAATCTCCTGCAGGATTCTCCAGCTCTAGCTTTCTCTTTATGACTTACCCATTGTGACCATCTCCTAGTGTCTCCTTGTGACCATGTTAGCTTCCTCTGGGAAGTGCCACAGGATGTCAAATGTCCAGCTCCTGCCAGATGGTCTCTCTCCCCACCTCCCGGGCCCACGAGCCCAGCCTGTACCCTGTCTTGCACAGGCGCATCCAAGTACACAGGTTCCTGACCCTGTGCTTGGAGGGGAACAGCCTCCTCATGGCTGGTCCCAGTTCCCTTCCCTTCCCACCCCAGCCCGTGGAGTCAGAATCCACACAGCTGTCTCTGGGAAGACTTCTCCTATTAGTTCGGGACTATTAGCTTGTTTTCCACTCTCACTCTGCACGACACAAGCAGTCCAACATCCTCTGTATCTATGGAGAATTTTGTATTCTCCACATAGACTTTGAACAAATGCTTACCTGTTTTAGTTTTACCCCAACAACGTAAGTATTGAAATCAAGTGGGTGGTCTAACTAATAAGATCTCCATGTTCCATAGAAGCCTCAAAACGTCTAATAGCAGTGGTTCAATTAGCTGGATTTTTATACCAAAATACATGTTGTTAAGGGGGAAAGGCGATGGGGGAGAGACTTCTGGCCTTAGCAAATCCATGTTTCTTGATAACGTGAGTCCCATTCCAGGGAAGAGTTCGTGCTTCCACTCTGTCTCCTCAGACACTGCCAAGGAAAGCTCTGCCCTCTTGCCCTGGGAGACTTTGGGCAAAGACTTAGGGACCTTTCTGATGTGACGTTTTAGAGGACAGGAGGTTGTCTTCACTCTCTAAAGCAAAGGGCTTCTGTAGCTGCTGGGCCTCTCCACTGCACTCTGTTTTAAAGCAGAGGACAGGAATAAATGTCAGGCTCTTATCTGTTCAATGTCCTCCTCCTCAGTGATGTTAGGAGAAAGGAACCAAAACAGTGAGATTGGACATAACTCACGCAAGTCATCACAAGTAGATTTTAGGAACATAAAAGGGATACCAAGCCAGGCATGGTGGCTCACGCCTATAATCCTAGCACTCTGGGAGGCCGAGGCGGGAGGATCGTGTGAGCTCAGGAGTTCGAGACCAGCTTGAGCAAGAGCGAGACCCCGTCTCTATTAAAAATAGAAAGAAATTCCCTGTCTCTACTAAAAATAGAAAGAAATTAGCTGGACAACTAAAAATATATATGGAAAAAATTAGCCAGGCATGGTGGCACATGCCTGTAGTCCCAGCTACACGGGAGGCTGAGGCAGGAGGATTGCTTGAGCCCAGGAGTTTGAGGTTGCTGTGAGCTAGGCTGATGCCACGGCACTCTAGCCAGGGCAACACAGTGAGACTCTGTCTCAAAAAAAAAAAAAAAAAGGGATACTGTCTTTGGACCTTGCTCATTGGTAAATTAATTTCTCGTTGGACTCTGGCTTATATAGAGTTACAGCTATTTGGAAGGGAGCAGATTATGACACAGAGGAACTCCCTAACTAGAGGAGGAAGTGAAAATGTCACCCCTTCCTTGCCGGTGGATGAGGAAGCAGCAGGACAGAAGCATGTGTCCCGGCTTCCCCCTCCAGCTCAGAACCTTGGCATGGACGCTGGTCAGACGTGCTAGAGGAAAGCTGGAAGCAGAGGGAAATTGGCCTCCTCCAACCAGAAGGCCAGGAAGAGTTCACATGGACTCCCCATCCACGACAGCACTTGCCCCGGCGCAGCATGGCCACTAGCACAGGGCATGAATGGGTGCGTGAGCCCGGGGCAGGCCCCTGGCCCCACAGCTTTCCGGAGGCATGCCAGGGACCCAGAAGCTCTGCACCCCCTGGGTGGGGCTGGGAGTGCTCTGAGACCAGGGAACAATAGGGGCCCAGAGGAAGCACCATGAAGCCACAGCATGGGGGCATTTGTGACCAGAGGCAAGGACTAGAGCAGACTCCGCCCGCGAGTAACAACACAATGCTCCCACCCTACATGGGGTCAGTGAATCCTCACAGTCCTGTCTGGGGACCCGGCCAGATGAAACCAGCAAGAGGCCAGAGCGTCTGGCCTCACTAACCCACACAGCCCTGTTCACCCAGACACTACCGAGAAAGGGCGGATATGAGAGGTTGAGCTGCTGCCACCATGGAAGAGTGTCCTTAAACTGAAATTCCATAAACAGGCAATTTTAATTCAGTTTCTCTCCTCCTCGCCATCCCACCACAAAACCCACTGAGAGAAGGCTCATGGGTGGTAGAAGAGTAGATCCATCTTAGAGAAGTGTTTAGGCTACATCATATCTATACATCTTAGCAAAAGAGAAGAAATCTGTGACCCTATTGCGTTTACACTCAGAGATCTTAGTTGTGTTTTAGGCTTGGCAGTTGTTCCAGTTATTTTTACTCTTCCTTCTGCAATTCATGTGGGTTCCAAGCGACTTGAAATATTGATGCCTCTGAATCATTTTCATTCGACTTATAAAATGTATGTTTTCCTTCAGCACAAGCTCATCCCCAAAGCGCTCATGAGAACTCATGTGAGTCAGGGTTGTGTCTCAGGAAACAAAAACAACCAGCTATTTCAGGCATAAGATGATTTCGGCAATTATAAAACTGCTGGCAAGGCTGCCTGTTTAGGCTAGGTGTCTAGGAACGATTCCCGGAACACAGAACAGTGTTACATAACATGCCTGCCAGGGTGCTGCAGCCTCCAGCATATCCAGAAGGTGGGGAATCAGAAGGCTGCTGTCCTGACTGTTGGCTTCAAGAACTATCCGTGAGAGCTACCATCCTAGGGTGAGCCCACCCCAGCCTCACCCGCTCCCAGCTCAGAGCTGGGGATGAACATGGGTGCTCTGCTCCAACTTCCCACCGGGCCCCTGCTGGAAGGGGCAGAAGTTGCGAACAGTGGCCTCCTTCTCAAGCACGTTCATCTACTGGTGAACTGTAATTCACAACCAGCACCATAGCTGCAAGGGAGTCAAGGAAACATAGCTTTCGTTGCCAACCTTTGCAGTACTGGGAAGCTACGCCAGAAGGGAGTTGGAATAAACACTGGGTGCTAAGTTCATTTCTACCACACCCTTACAAGGACAACATTAGGGACTAGTTTTCTTATACCTCATGCTGGCCTAAGTTTTTGGTTTTATAATTACAAAAATAATACATGTTCATAAGAGAAAAATTAGAAAATGGATAAAGAAAAGAAAATAAAGATTACTCATAGTCATTCATACTGCAGGGATCACTGCTAATATTGTGATCCTGCTAATCATCTTTGTCTTTTTTCTGTTCACATGTAGATATTTTCAAATGAGATAATTTTCCAAAAAAATACTATTTTCTCATCCTTTTCTCTTAAGAATATACACTGGTGTCCCTCCAGCGAGCTCCCTTAGCATTGAGAAGGGCCAAGCCCTTCTCTCAACTTCCCTCTCGCCCCTTGAGGCCCCCTGGTCGCGCTTGCACGGAGAACTCGGGGCTCATTTTATTACGGGCTTTTATTCCTGAATTTTGACTAAACTCTTTAGGCTTAATCTATTAGCCTCAAAAATATTGGGCAGGCCGGGTGTGGTGGCCCACACCTGTCATCCTAGCATTTGAGAGTCCGAGGCAGGAGGATCACCTGAGGCCAGGAGTTCAAGACCAGCCTGAACAAGAGTGAGAGAGATCCCCTTCTTCACAAGAAATAGAAAAAATCAGCCAAATGTGGTAGCACACCTGTAGTGTCAGCTACTTAGGAGGCTGATGCAAGAGGATCACTAGAGCCCAGGAGTTTGATGTTGCAGTGAGCTGTGATGAGGCCACTGCACTTCAGCCCCAGCAACAGAGCAAGACTCTGTCTCAAAAAAACCCAAATACATACATATATATTAGACAGTTATGTTATTTGCCTGCTTCATTCCTATGGTAATCAGTTATATACTCTTATTTGGAATTAACATAGTGGGTATCTCTCCACTTAACTCCATTCATACAATCACAGATAACTACACTAAAAATCAATAGCAGAAGAAATGCCAAGAAGAGGCCATCCCAGCATTGAAGTAAACCAAATGTTCTTTCTTGGAGCCAAAGAACTTTACACCAAAAACTGAATTGTATGTAGACACAAGAACACCAAGCATTTATTTATGTTTTCCACATAATAATCTTGACCATTATGACTTTAACTCTCTCTCTTATTGAGATATAAAAAAAAAATGTAAGTTGAACTTCTGTTAAAGTCCTATTAATATTGTAAATTTTCTCAAGTATTAGTTATTAATGAACAGAATAAACAAAATACTATGTTACCACAAAAAAAATAAATAAATGTTTTTACAAATAAGTTTTGAATACTTCCATGTCAAAACGTGTTCACCCAGAGTAGGAGTCAGCAAATGTTTTTTTCTGTAAGGGCCAGATAATATCAATAACTGTTTTAGACTTTGCAGACCACATGGTTTCTGTCACACTACTCAACTCTGCTATGGTAGCATGAAAGCAGCCACCATGAGTACAATTGTGAACCCCCAAAATTCACATGCTGATGTCTTAGCCTCCGGCACCTCA